AACATTGTCTGCTTTATGATTTTTGCAAATTTAAGTGACATACCAAAAGTCGAATGGTATTCCCGAAAGAGTTTTGAAATAATGAAATTGTTGGAGGATTTTTTTTGGAACTGAACCTTATCCATCATTTTGAAAATGCGATCCACTCGTTTCTCGGGCGTATTCTCCTCTTCGGGTAATTTCACGGTTGAACCAACCATTTTATAGATGCTGCCAACAATCGATAGCATCTCATTGCGTGTTATAAAGCCATCGTTATCCAAGTCGTATAACTTGAATGCCCCTTCAACGAATCAAACAACTTTTTTAGGCATTGTGGTTTTTTGAAACTGTTCACTTAATTACATCACAGATCATTTTGGAAATCTCCAGCAAAAAAATTTTTCTGCAACAAGCACCATCAATAGACAACCATTAACAAGTCAGAGGCCATTTGAAACATCTTACAATGTAGTTTTTCGTCAAGATTGCCTCGTGACGTTATGGAGAGCGCCCGGATGAATTCGTGAAATTCGATTGCTCCATCCTGTAAAAATTCACAAAAATAATGCAATCTTTTGGCCAGCTCGCCTAGCCAGCGGGGTGGCGTAAATTGAGGCCAAAACAATGCGCACGGAAACATTGCGAGCATTGTGGCCAGCAACGTTATAAACGTTTGATAGCCTGGCCGATCCAGGTAATCCAGGTAAATGTAATCTTTGTGTCTTCTTAAAATTCCCCAAGCATCCAGCCAGCTTTTTTGGCTCATAAAATGACGAGTTTCATTTTTGATGCGCATCGTCGTTGCTCCCGTTGTCCGAACGCGAAATCGATCCGAACGTTGGGTAGGGGGACGAGGGCAAATTCAAAGTGCAAAATCATCAATCAGTGAATAATGTTAAATTTCAACACAATTTCATATTCAGTGCTTTAAGTTATTTTCGTCACTGGTTGATGCATCATCGATAGGGTTTTGAATGGATTTTACGCGAACGAAAAAGTACACCACATCAAACAAATAATCCAACAATAATGCGTAGTTTTTTTGATCTGTAGATACAAATGTACTCTCAGGGCAAGGCTTCAACGTATCAGTCATCTAGATTCATTTAGAATCATATTTCGCGAAACTCAATTATTCAGTTGATTCAGCATCACCTCAACAGTGATGATGGTGATATTTAGTTAGCATACGGTAATCTTCAAGGCTCTCTTTGGTCAGGTTCCCTTATAAATCACAAGTATTCGGAAGCGATTACAGAAATTAAAATGTTTTCGCAAAGGAGGAAGATTTGAACTGTCTGAAGGAGCCTGAAAGCGTTCAGTATGTTTGTAATGGAACGCAGAAGCTGAACCTTGTTATCAGCTGATGCTTTGTTTTAATGCCACATGCGATTTTATGCTCTTTATACTAGCGGTTGCAAATGTGATGTGAGAAACATGAACTCATTACACTATTAGAAACCAAAAAACAGTAGTATTCAATTTCTGCTCATCGCTGAGTCTGATGAGTAGAGGCTAAAATCCCAAGGGAGTCGGGTTGTTGCTGTGAGAAAATTCATAGATTGAACAAAAATTGAGGTGCGTGCAAAGGGCAGCTGCTGTTTAATGGTTTGGTTATTTTAATCTAGAAATTTCAATTGCAACTTTAATGAGTCCAACCTGCTGAGGACGCTCATAGTGGTGCTTTTGATATGAATTGGAATTGATTAGTGGGCGAAAGAGATCGGAAATTTTTTGAAGAGGAAAACAATCGAGCTTGGAATAAAAACTGAAGTAAAATTGTTGAGTTCTTTGAAAAAAGGCACTCTATCTTTCATTTTTAGCGTTACACTGTTGAAGAAATCAAAAGGATTTGGGAGGTAAAATCCGCTGCTTCACAGATGGAATCAGTTAGGTTTTCTCACTTTCCGTAAAGTTTTAAAAAACTGCAAATCGCTGCTAATGATTCGACTTCAAATTTATGCCAAACGCATTCACTAGCAAATAAATAGAACATTATTTATTTCATTGCTTATGTTTGTCTGTATCCGTGGGATTTTACGCCACTAAGCCAATTTGGTATTACACTGAAGAATGACTGAACAAATAGTTTTCTTCTGATGTCTTTGAAAGTTCCTATAGTGAGTGGGATCGTGCCTCTATTGATGGATCATAATTTGCACTTTATTGAAAAACATCGGTCATTGATTCGCCATTGATCTGATAGTTGAATCGATGAACATTTGATGTGATCGATGCGGGGAAATGAAAGGCAATTACGGGGGATGTGATGGAATGGAATATTATGAATGAAACGAACTTTATTCTCGTCGAAAACTTTGAAGACGAATGAAGCGAAATCGGATGGATCACCTTGAGGAAAAAATTGTTTGTAAATTTTTTGAAATCCCTGAAAGATGTGAAAATGAAGCCGCGTATAATTGATGAGGTGCACATGCAATTATGTCGATTCTCTCAATAAACCTGATGATAAAATGTAATGCTAATAAATTATGCAGGATCATTAGATGTCAACGAAATCTCATATTCCATAGCAATTCAAAAAAAATACTTCTGTGATCCCAATAAGATCATACGAGTGGAAATTTGCCTATAATCTTGACAGATGACCGTAGTGGCTTGAGCACATTTACTTATCGTTAGTGTTTTGGTTTTGTTATAGCGACTGATCGTGTTTCCAAAGGAATGCAAGATGCAAATTTCCATTGCCTCTTCGTAAACGGGGAGCAGTCTAGGAAAAGATGCAAGTGAAACCGAAATAAACTTACTGCTTCAGTAAGCATTCCATTCGGGCAATCGCGCACGAATCCTTTGTACCTGAAGTTGTTTTGTTATCATTCATCTCAGACACATCAACGAATCTGCCATCGAAAAAGTCAGTAGCACCACATACATTCCATTCCATAGCATCATGCATACAACAATAAAAACGATAATAGCACCGAAAATGTGCACAAATATGAATATTTATCGTAAAAAATTCGATAGAATCGAAATCACTGCAGGATTACATGCAAACACGCAATATTCCAATTATAACATCGGTATTTCTTAATGTCGAAGCACGGCAAATAACGTCCAGTATAGGTCAGTGGATAAACTCATTTGTATCAACACAAAATCAGTTGAATATTGAGTTTAAAAAATTGACTATAACGTGAAGATCATATGAAATTATGTTGAAGTTACATGAGTGAAGTCACATGCGAACGGGGATTGAAATTATGTTAGTGCATAGAAACGGATGAATAATTTATGAGCGAAACAGAGTCTACGAGTCTAAAATGTCGCGGTTGAATTTATTTCTTCAGAGTTTCAGGCAAGCGAGAGTTTAATTCAGTTAATTCAAATTTCATTCAGTAATTTATAGTTCGCTGACAGCAACAATAATCTCGTTTGAGCAATAGATCATAAATAGAATTTGGTTGGAGAGTAAAAAGCAAATAACATTGGATTAGTCATAGCAAACCAAATAATCCATACGGATTCTTTGAAAAACCAGCAAAACACCCGTTCAAAATCTGTGCTATGTTTTGGAACGATACTCAGTATTGCATTTTGATTGAATCTGTTATATCGCTAATGTAAGGTTTGGAATAGGCATTTATCTTACAGCTGAAAGTGCAGTCTAGTTTCGTGATAGACTGAATATATCCAATGAATTTGGCTCAAAAGCAGGGTAAGGATGATGAGATCGTTTGAAAACCCCCGAATCTGAATGTTTGGTCGTGCACGCAATCGAATATTTGACTGAGTTTCAACGAACGAGAGCTTTTTGAATATTTGACTGAGTCGGCTGAAAGCATTTCCTTTGCAATGCGAAAAATGGCACCAATTGAAGAAAATTTCATCGATTTATTATCACTGAAATCATTTACAGCGATGGATCGCTGAATGTTATTGAATGTTTAGCACCATGATTAGCGAGGGTTCCAAATGAGGTCATTAAGCACCAAGATATCATTTTGCAGATGACGGTGTTAGGCACGGAAACTGCATTCACTTAACCGTTATGACGAAAAAATCAAATACATAAATAAGTAAGATTTTATTCAGTTTTTATCACTTTTTCACATCGCAAAGGAAACGAAATAAAACGGTTTATATGAATGATCATTTTATGTTTATGAGTCGACAACAATCATGCATGCGAAATCACATGCCAGATCACAACGATATAATAATAGTTATTCACTTACCACTGTTTGATCTCTTTCTCAGTAACTGCAAATTATCAAAATCAAATCTTAATTTCAATGAAATTTGTCGCATATTTTTGAGAGAATTACTCATACTGAGTAGAGGATTACCCATATTCGTTCTGGAAATTGTATTCCTATCGCCTATTGCTACTGAAATAATCTCACACTTACATCAGTGTGAATTGGAGTCGATCAGGCTGCACTATGTATGATCAAAATGCCGTGTTTCTACAACATTGAATGTTCGACTCAGTACGTGGTTAAGACTTAGCATCAGCTGAAGCTCTTGCTAAACCCAAAAGCTAGAAACTTCACATCATCCCCAGAAAGCTCGGAAATCCTCAACATTGTTGTCAGAGTTGGAAAATAGGGCATTTCGCTATCGCACAAACTGATTGCTTCCCTCTCCAAGTGATGGATAAGTGGAATATTAAGTAGAATTACTTTCGAATTTGTACGGGGAAATTGAACGAGCGAAAGCAAAACTTGAAAAAGCGAAGGTTTATTGGAACTAAAACTAATGAATTTGTTGAATAATTTAGCTTGAGTTTATTGGTTTTTGGTACTTTTTGGTACTAAAACTAATCTGCTGAGTTAAAACTGATATTAACAGTGAT